TTTGATGTTAGTTTTCACTAATTAGGAAAACATTTATCTAAGCGGCATTGACATATTTTAAGCATTTTCTTAGATGTGGGAGTGGTCCACATTAGACGCATAGTCCACATTACCCGAAGTTACTCTACGAACTGATGTTTTATTGCAGCCTTCCTCCTAATCGGTCGATAGTTGAGTAGTGTGAAAGGATATCTTGATTATAACTGTATTTCATAACGCCTTTCAATAAATGTCAACAGTTAAAAAAAACTAAATAGTTTGTGTTTATGTTTTGCATAATTTCTATTTTTCAATTTTGTTGTTATTGCAGTGGAACAATTTGTCGCGCGTATTTGTTGTTTTCGGTTGTGTCGGTTCGTCGTGGACATTTTTTATTCCAATTCGTGTGTCGCCCTTGAACACGAACGAGTTTAACAAAAGAAATGTGTGGTGCTATATTCAATTTCTAAGGATTTATTGCAATTTCGCATTTAATGAAAAAAAAAAAACAATGTTAGCAGTGAAACAAAGAGGAGTCAGTGAAATGAGAGAATAAGATAGATGTTGGCAAATTAGTGGGAGCACTTGTTTACAAATTAACATATAAATGCCGTTAAGAAAACATAATCATGAATGATTTGGATAATATTTGTGGGGAGAAAAAGGAAGTCAATTGATCATGTTGTTGCATGCATTTCGTGCGTGTTTCAATGTGGAAAAGATGTAAAGAACGAACTGAAGATATTTCTTTCGGAACGATCTTTATGTCTAAAAAATAAAGGTAAGTCGAATGTTATTGTTTTCAAATTTTATTGAGATAAAATTTTATATTTTTACAAACAATGTTTTATAAAATGCTAACCAAATTTCAATGTGATTTCAATGTTTGTTTTTAAAGAATATTTTCCTGATGATTGTTATAGGCTTGGATTTTTAATGAATATTTGTCTGAGGATTAGAAATATTTGTAATTATTATATTTTTATGGATGCCGCACTTAGGAACAAACAAAATAACGACTTTCCTATATAACGACTTTCCATTTTTGCTAATTTTGGCTCAATATTGGAAAAAATGTTAAATAAGTATAAAATAAATAAGTTTTCATTTACAAAAACAAAAAAATCAATTTTGAGTGTGTTTACACAATATTAGACATGGCCTTATTCTCAAACATTTTTAACATATAAATTAAGTGTATAAGACATGCCGAGTATTGAATAAAGGTTTCCTAATTTTAATATTTTCATAAAATTAATCAATATGTTTTACTTTTTTGTCTCAATAAAGTAATAAAAGTATTTTAATAACCATTTATTGAAGAAAATAATAAAACAAATCAGTCAACTATACAATTTTTCTTCAATTACAATACGACATGCCGACTATTGGAACATGACATGCCGACAATTGGAAACTCGATACAGCCATAGCCGCGTATTTAAAAAAAAAAAACTATTTATTCAAGGTCAAGTCTTAACCGCGGATTTCTTAAACATATTTTCTCACGTACAAAGAAAGGTGTGGATTTTTAAAAATAATTTTTCAAGCTCCAGAGGTAGGCGCGGATTTTTTTAAAAATATTTTTTTAGGTTCCATAGATAGGCGTCGATTTTTTATTTTTTTTATAAGTTGCATATACAACCACAGCCGTGGATTCTCTCAAAATATTTTTTCAAAGTCCAGCATTAGGCATGCATTTTCTTTTAAATATTTATTCAATGCCTATAGTTTAAAAATAAAAAAAAAGATAAAAATACTCTCTAGCGGTTAATTTTTAAGGTACGAGTTCTAATAAATCCTTCCTTTAATGGTTACGGCCCATTTTAAGTTTAAAATTTTTTACCCTCAACCTTATGGCTAATGATGAGATTATAATATAATGCTACAGCAAAAATGTGCCTCTTCGATATATTGTTTTTTCACCAACTCAGTTTCTGAAAATTTTGAGTCGATTTACAAATATTCGTTCGTCTGTCTAGCGGCCTTGTGCGCATAATAATTCTCGAAGGGAGTAACCAATTTCATCCATACATAGCGCATTGTAATATTTCTTCCCAACTTACAATTTCGCTGAAAATTACTTTTATAATATCATGCGACGGACTATCCGATTTGAACCAAACTCTGTACAACCTATTATATTTACAAAGCGTATATCCACTCTTTCTGGTACCTACCCACAAAGCGTCCAAAATTTTGAAAAATGTTAATCCAATATCAAACTAACGAAATGACCGATTTGATTCAAATTGTGCACATCGTAATATTTCTTTCAAACTTAAATCAATTTCGATCATGGAGAAAATTGGTCCACTCCTTCTGGTACTTCGCCCCATATGATACTTAAAAAAATATATTTTCAAAATCACCTGGACCGTAAAAATTGATGTCCCCAAAAATCATTAAAAAATCCACTTCAATAACTCGTGATTGAAAAATATTAAAAAAAAAACGCATTACATATATTTTTTGTTTTTACTTACCATTTTAAACTCTTTCAATAAAAACACAATTTTCAATTCAATTTTTCATAAGGTTTTTATTTTGAAATTGGCCAAGTCATTATTTGGTAATTTGTTTTCCAAAACCCAATATTGTTTCAAAAAAATATACTTACTTGAATAAATACGATAACTTAATAATGAATAAAACAAAGTCATTTTGTAAAGAAGGAATTATATTGAGAAATGAATAAATAAAATTAAGTATTTGCTTTTTTGATAAATAAGTTCGTTTGAGTTGTGTAATACTCTTAATAAAGTGTTCGAATAAATATTTGTATTTTTATGGGTATGGGTGGTATAATTGTTATTTAGAATATTTAATAAGTAATAAATATGTATTATCATTTTTATACCACAACAAAGTGTTTGATTCTGCGTTTTTTTTTGTTCATTCAATTAATAATTGCTATTGCTGTCTCTGGTAGTAGTCATACTTAATAAAGAAGGGCGGGGAAGTATAGAAGACAAAAATGTAGAGCGACCTACATCATCATATTTCCTTGTGACAAGATGTCCGTGTATATAAATAATTATTATGTATATATGTGTGTAAGAATGTATTGCTGTATTGATATAGATATATACTGGGGGTATATCTACATACATATAAAGAGATTTGTTTTGTTATATAATATACAAAGAGAAATAGGTCCAAAATATCCGATTCAGTTCAATGTCCTTCCTTCTGTTTTTCTTTTGTTCGTTTCATTCCGTTTTTATGTTTTTCTTTCTATATTTCCAGTTCTGTTGATGTCAGTTCAATTTTTGTTTTTCAGTTTTCAGTTTTGTTTTGCATTAAAGATCCTATAATTTTCTACTATAAGTTCAAGTAGTATGTGAGTCGTCTCTGTACAAGTCGTCCATCATATTGTTTTTCATTGTTGTAATCGTTCGTTCGATTCTGTTCTTTGTTATTTCAGTTAGTTGTCAATTTGTGATTGTTTCGGGTCTGTGAAAAATAGAAAACAAAAAATATCTTGTATGATGGTTGGAGGTATATACAATATATAGATAGATATAAAAAGAGATTTTGTTTTTGTTGTTGTCTCTGTAAAGTGGAAATCAAAATTAAAAGTCAATAGTTTAAATTGTGGGTTAAGTAATGCATCCGTTTGAGACTGAAATTGGAACACTTTACTTACCTTGGCATTTAAATTAATGTGTAAAAACTAAACTATGGTAAATAATTTAATGCTAAACTACAACTACTCAATAATAAAATAGTGAGCATAGAATTATGCGGACATATCCATATATTTCCCGAAGACCTTACGTTCTAGTTTTTATCTCGATATCCTCCGCAGGGATATCGGAACAAATCAGATAACTATTTTAATATAAATAGGGGGTTATATGGGACTACCCCAAAAATGGGGCGAATATAATTAATTTTTGGTAGGGAGATTTGTTACCATATACGACTACAAAATACCAAATAGCAGCGAATTTGAGTAAAAAAAGCGCTCAAGAACCCCAAAATACCGAAAATTGGGGGTACCTTATATGGGGGGGCTATCCAAAAAAATGGATCTATATTCATAATTTGTTGTGGAAAGATTTGGTACCTATTAAGAACTTAAAATACAAAATTACACCCAATTCGGTGGAAAATGCGATAAAAAATTAGAGGGTACCGTTATATGGAGGCTACCAGAAAAAGGGGACCTATATTTTAAATATTTGGTGGAGGAATTTTATAACCGATTAGAACCCAATGTACCAAATTTCAGCGAATTCGGTTGAAAAACGCCCTCAAGAACCCCAAAATACCGAAAATTGGGGGGTAACCTTATATGGGAGCTATGCCTAAACGTGGACCGATATATCCCAGCCTGCAGACAAAAGACAACCCTATGCAAAATTTCAGCGCCCTATCTCAATTCCTTCAGAAGATACCGTGATTACAACAGACGGACGGACATCGTCTTAGAATTTTACCCTGATCAAGAATATATTTACTTTATAGGGTACAAATGAATATTTCGATGAGTTACAAACGGAATGACAAAATTAATATACCCTCCATACTATGGTGGAGGGTATAAATAGTTCACACCTATGTATGGCCCTTGCAAAAATATACGTCTATATATGGTCCTTGAAAAAAAAATTTAAAAAAATAGTCCCAAAAGGACTATAAGCTCTTCTCTAAAAAACTCCTGCAGATTCCCTTCTTCCCTTTTAGCTTTTCTATAAAAACTGCCTTCAAATTGTCTAAACAAGACTTATATCACCTCGTCTCGATAGACATTTACTTCGTCCATACAGATTATCCTCAGCTTGCCTATAACATACTTCCTTCAGCTCATCTAAACAGACATACCCCTTTAAAACTTTTAGAAGCCATGAAGTACCAGAAAATATTTCCTCCTATCAATTTGTAAAATGTTAGGTGGTAAACCTGAAGTCAATCACACACACACACAACTACATCCAACGACAAAATCTTCAAAGTATCCCCATGCTTTTCGGATATACAAAGAAAATATTTACAAAATTAAGAATATCCAATGCTTCTTTACTTACATTTAATTGCGACGCATACGTTTACGATTACCATCGCCATCATCATTATTGTGATCACGTTCCTCAGCTTCCAATACCTGAGGGGGAATTAAAAAAAGAATAAATATTTCGAAATCACTCTCAAGTCCTTTACAACTTACCTTTATACGCGTACCACATATTTCAGCACCGTGCAACGTTTGCATGGCATTTATTGCCGAATTCTTGTTGGCATATTTAACATAACCACAATTTTTATTTGGCAATAGATAGACATCCATTAACCCTCTCCAGCAGGAGAAGACATTTTTCAAAATTGATATTGGTATATTCTATAAAAGAAGAAAATGTTCAAGCATTTTCGAAATAAAAATAGAAATATTATTTTTGTCTTACCGATGCCAGTACAATAAATAAACGCTGGGCACATTGTGCATCGGCCGAAGCCATAGGTTCAACGGGTGGCAGAGGTACATTACAGATGGCATCCATTTTGGAACGTTCTGAAAGAAAATAGATGGATTTTTTAAATATATATAAGGTGTAGTATATATTTAATTTGTCATTCCGTTAGTAACACATCGAAGTATTCACCTTAGACCCAAAAAATCTATGTCGTTTTAGCCATGCCCGTCTGTTTGTTGAAATCACTAAAGAGTTCGCAATATTTAAGATAGAGCTTTGAAATTTTGCCTATACATTTTTACTACTCCTACGATGTTTGGTATTGAAAATTGGATATATCGGTCCAGGTTTTGATTTACTACGCATTTAACTGTACCCCCAAATCTTCGGAATTGAGCGGATTTTTGGCTCATTTTTAGAAAACCTCCCTATCAAATTTATCGATATAGAATACTTTCCATATATTTTTTGGACTTTTATAAAAATTTTTCTGAAACGGATTTGGTCCAAAGAAGCATGGGGTCTAAAACCAATATTTCGATGAGGCACATTTTCACCGTATCAAAGGCTGAGGGTATAAAAACTTACTATCAATAAACGAAGTATCAATGCGTGCAGAACTCATGCCAGAAATTTTGGCTATGATGCGTTCACCGGCAGGATATTCCAGGCCATGTAATTTATCCCTGTAAAATGGAAAATCAATACGTTAAGAAATATACGCAATTATTATTAACTACAAATATTTACCTTGCATATATGGCTGCTTCAGGACTGTCATAGACAACAATGGCTTCATTGGTACGTGGACCACCTATAAAAAATAAATTTTTAAATTTGTCTCTAAATAAAAAACACCTCAAACTTACACTCCCTCAAGATTTTACAATTATTCAAACCAGGAATAATATTAAACAATTGCCACAGCTGATCTTGATTAACACAATTACTAATAATAACCTCCAGGCAGGTGGGATTGGGTACGGGAACATTTTGTAAACGTAGAAATTGTGCCATTTCTTTATTGCTAGAAATACCACCCCAATTATTGTAACTACCACCAGCAGCAGCCGCAGATGGCATATTATTAAAACCGCCACCACCAACCATGCCTGGCATATTATTGCTGGGACCACCAAAACCCATGTTATCATGCATCATATTACCATGACGCCCTCCATGACCACTACCACCACGACCGCCACCCATCATTGCATTATCATCTCTGGCGGATAAAGACCGTCCCGAATCTTTGGGTTCAGCAAAAACCGGTTTATATTTGGCTGGACAATTTTCTAGGGCCACAGCAGCATCATAGAATTTACCATAGCGTATATAACCAAAACCTTTGGGATTACCGGACTGTTTGTCCCGCAACAATGTGACATTTTCCACTTTACCCCATTGGCTGAATTCATCGCGTAACTCATCTTCGGTGGCCGTTTTGGGACAAACAATAAACAGGCGGACATATTTTTCATGTTCATTGTCGGATTTGTTGGAACCTTGATTGCGACTGGAAGAAAAAACAACAACAAATTAGGGGAGGAAATGAAATGTTAGTAATTGTTTTTCTTAGCAAACACACACTCAACACAATATAGATACACAAACATACCTTGCCGCAACCAAAACTTTCAATGTCCTATCCAGTGTACCAATTGTCTTGCCATTCATTTCCTCTTGGGCCCGGGCCGCCTGTGATGTCTTGGCATATTTGATATAGGTAATACCTTTATTTTCTCCCGTATGTTTATCCTTGACCACCCAGATATCTTCGATGTCACCAAATTGACTAAATGCTTCACGAAAATCTTCCTCGGTATGGGCCTTATTGCAAATGATGAATAGACGTGACATGGGCGGGTCATCGCCCTGGTCGCGGCCACCACGCCCTCCATCACGAGATTGTGAACGATTTTCGTACATATTTTAGATTAAAATTTAAATATTTTAGGACGGAAACTTCCGAAAAATCGAATTTATTTTTGCAAACAGACCGACAAAGACCAAGCCAAGCTAATGAAGAGAGAGAGTGACGTGTGTCGAGAGAGAATGACGTGTGTCGAAGTCCTGAAGAAAAATTGAAAAACGTTCCACTTACTAACGAATGGGAGGAGAAGACAAAATGGCCGATAAAGATGAATTCAAAATGGTATAACCGAAAGTTTACGAATGAGGTGGGATGGAGACCAAATGGAAACCGTGTTGTTTACGAATGAGGTTTAGGCAAATTATGATTAGGGAAAAGTAAATCGACTTTCGATTAATCGATTAATCGACTTTTTGTATAAAAATCGAAACGTTCCACTTGCAAACGAATGGGAGGAGAAGACAAAATGGCCAATAAAGATGAACTCAAAATGGTATAACCGAAAGTTTACGAATGATGTGGGATGGAAACTAAAAGAACCGCAGTCAGAGAACCGAGCTATACTGTTAATGTGTGACGGCGTTGCTATATGCATGGCGACAACGAGAATGAAGCCGTGGCTGGTAACAGACGACGCTGAGCAAAAATGAATAAGAGTCTAAACGCAACCAGAGAGTCACGAGTCAGCGTCATACTTTTTCGCCGGCGTGAAAACCAAACGAAAGAGTTGGCGTTAGCGGCACAAAATGTCAATTATTTGTTTTCATTTTCTGACAGAAAATTTTACGTTGTGCAAACCAAAATCAATTTATTATTTAATAAACAATAATGTCAATGAATTTGGATAAAATTATTGAAAAAAATAGTTTTCTTCCATTTTATTAATAATTCATTAAAAAACATCCACAATCTTTGAAAATATTTGTTTTTTTAACAGTACTGCCATATGTTTTGATATAAATTCTCATAGAAATTTGGTAGCACTGTTGATTTTAACCTAAAATATGGCAACTCTATTGAGAGCAAGAGAGAAATTTTGAGTATGACGCTGAGCAAAAATGATAAAATCTACAGCGTCATGCCGCTAGACGCGAACGTCAGCCGTCGCGATTTCCCGTTGCCTATAAGAAACACACGGCAAACGACTGTCACTGACTCTAGACTCTATGGTTGCGTTTAGACTCTAAGAGTTTAACGAATTAATAATAAAATGGAAGAAAAATATTTTTTTCAATAATTTTCCCCAAGTTCCTTGACATTATTGTTAATTAAATAATAAATTGATTTTGGTTTGCACAACGTAAAATTTTCTGTCAGAAAATGAAAACAAATAATTGACATTTTGTGCCGCTAACGCCAACTCTTTCGTTTGGTTTTCACGCCGGCGAAAAAGTATGACGCTGACTCGTGACTCTCTGGTTGCGTTTAGACTCTAAAATATATTCTAGCGTCAAGCCGCTAGACGCGAACGTCAGCCGTATACGACCTTCGCTGACTCTAGACTCTCTGGTTGCGTTTAGACTATATGCCGACAACGGCATACGCAATTCACTGCAAAGTGATTACATGACACTATTTTCACAGGGAAATGGTTACCTGACGGCCGATTGGTATGGATTTTGGTACAAAAACAGAGATAAAGAAAATATAACAAAACGTCAATTATATACCAAATATTGCTATTTCTTGCCCACTGAGAGAATAATAGAGTCTTGCCATAACTTCGACACTGAGAGAGAGCTTTGTTTTGTCATCGAATGAAACAATCGTCACTCTTTTAAATGTCTCACATAAAAGGCCGTTGTTACACACATAGACATAGAATGATTAAGCTTTTGCTATTCACCAATAGATGTCACCCCAATTTGATATCAGTTACCAAATTGAATATTTAATGTATGATATTTTTAATAAATAATAATATAAAAAATTGTAACAATAAAACACACAATTTAAAGTAATTTTTATTTTGTTTTATTTTTTCCAAAAAGAAATGTATTTTTTTGTTATTATTATTTATAATTTCTGCTTGATGTTGTTTGTTTGATTTTCTTTCACTGACATTAATTATATACTTTTACATTATGCATTACACGAAATAAGGACATAAATAATTTCTATAAATAAACTATAATAAGAAATGTAATGTTTTTAAATAATTAAAATACAGTTTTTTTGTTAAAGTTAGACATTTTTGTTTTTTAGAGAATTTGCACTAAAGTTATTATTGTAGTTAACAAATACTTGTATATTATATGTTATGTATTTATATATAAAAATTATTACATATATATATATATATATATGTAATTATATCTGTGAAATTATAAATATTTAAAATATATTTATGTATGTATTTTATTTTGGAGGAATATTGTTTTTTTGTCTGTTCTATATTTGATCATATTTTATTGGTTTTGAAATGATAGCCAGTTTTTTATGGTTTTAGAGAATTTATGTTTCGCGTGGAGTTTCTTGTGCATATTAGTTGTCTGCCATCTCTTATTTAAAAATACCAAATTATATAATATTAAACTGACAAAAAAATCCCAAAAATATCGGAATGTTGCCAAGCCGTTATTACATAAAATTTAGAGTGGAAAGGGCATTCGGCAAATTAAATATTTGAAGTTTTAAATACATTTTAAATTAAAACAAATTTTACAAAAAAAAAAAAAATTGAATATTGTAATTTTATTGATATTGCCAAATGGATCAGGCATACTTCTCAATGACTTCAAATTTATGAGTCGATATTTATTTAATATTAGCCGATGTTACACTAAGTGGAAATACTGGAAACAATTTTCTAAAGCCCCTCAAATATATCAACATAATTATGCACATGACAGTATGTAATACGATTCTATGAAATTACTATTGTTGTGGTTGTAGTTTTATTTATTATTTATTGAAAAATAAAAAAATATACATATTTTTTGGAAAAAACTATTTTAAAACTTTGAATGGCAAGAAATAATATAATACAAAAAAAAAAAAACAATACTGATAAGAAAAATTGGAAGGTATCCTTTTCAAAATTTATATATTCTGTACTGGTTTCCTTTGTTCATCTACTACTGTAAATAATATATTTTATGTATGTATATTTTCACTTAATATTTATGAGAAACTGTGTGCTTTATAAAATCTAAAGAAATATACATAATTCAGCTATAAATAAATTCTTAATAATATTAAGCGTTGTGAGAGACTCTTATTAAATAAATTATTTATTTAATAAAAATTTAATTGAAAAAAAAATTATGAAATAATTTTTTTTTACTTAATTGAAATTCAAAACATACCTATAAAAAAATTAAAAATGATATAAATACAAAAAATTTCTAGTTTGGAGAATAAAATAAAAATTTTCACTAAAAATTTTATATTTAAAATTCAATTGTTTTTCATTTTTATATGTACTTAAGTATGTTTTTTTGTTTGTGTATAAATTGTTTGTATTTTTTTTTTTGTTTTCTTCTAATTTATAAATTTTTGAATTTTATTCCAAAAGGCAATTTTGTTGTTCTTGTTGTGTTACGACGACCTAAAATGTAAAATTTTGTTTCCTAAAAAATCTTGAGTTTTTGTTGTTTTTTTTTCGTTTTGATTTTTTGTTTTACAAACAATTTGCTTTGTACACTTTTTTTGTTATTTTTTAATTTAAAGAAAAGATATATATAAAAAAATAGATAAAAATAATAATTTTGTACGCACACGTTTGATTTATAATATTATAAACATTATTAAAAAAGTATAACAATAATTTCAATAATAAATTACAATTATTACAAAAACCTAATAAAAGTATTAAAAAATAAAAGAGAGGAGAAATAATTTTTTTTTATTTTTTTATATTAAAAAAAGAATAATAAAAAATAAAAATTTTAAATCAGTTTTATGAAAAAAAAATATTTTAAAATATCATCGAACAAATAGTAACTTATTGGATTTTATTGCAATACATTTAATTTAAAAATTGAAATACAAAAGTTATAATTACAAAACCTAAATTTTTAATTTCTTTAATAATAAAAAAATAATAATAAAAAAATTAAACACATCTTCCTTAAAAAAAAAATACGAAAATACTAATACTACCAGAGAGTTACATTTATTTGTTTTTTAAATTAACATCTTAAATTGTAAACTTAAATATATTTTAAGGAGATCTTTAAGTTTGTTGATGTTTATTTATTTAATTTTACTTTATATTTTTCTTATATTAATTAATAATTTTTTATTTTTCTCAATAAGAAATATTAAAAATGTTTCTTTTCAATTATTACAGTCATCGATAAAATGAAACTACACTAAATAAAGAGTTCTCCTGTTAATATATCTGCCTCTCGCTCTCTGTTTACATTTGCATAAGCAGATAATCGATAATTGGTGTGAGTCTCATCATGATAGGATCATGCTTTATATGTCTCTGTAAACAGAGAGAACAGAACAGGACAGAGTATCAGCATGATTACTCTCTTCCATACTCATGTTGTTTTTTATTTTATTTATTTTATTTTTGTTGCTTTATTAATATTCTAGTTTATGTTGTTGTTTACTACTCTAATGCTATTGTATGTATGTATGTATGTATGTTTTGTTGCTGTATTTCTGACTATATTTTCATTTAAAATGGAATATATGGAGTAATGTTACAGAGAAAAGAATAAAAACTGTAATTTATCAAGAGAAAGAAAGAGGAAGGTGAAGAGATCTTCAATAATTCATTTCCCTCTTTCCCTCTCTCTCTCTCTCTCTCTCTCTTGATTTCACTGCAAAACAACATAATACTGAGAAAATATTATTTTTTTTGATTTTAATTTTATGTTTTGGAAGATTAAATGAAATAATATTTTTTAAACATTTTGATTTCCTGTTTATATATATAATGTATATATATATGCGTGTGTGTGTATATGTTTGTATATATGTATGCCTATATTATATTGAATATATTCTTATTCGCTACTTGTAGTAATGGGTTCGAGTTTAATGCCCGTGGAACTTATGTTACTGCTACTGGCGGAAGTTACAACTGTCGAGGACGATGTGGTGGTCATCGAGGAGGATGATGGACCCGCGGAAGAAGAAGGCGCTGCCCCCATTTGCCCACTCGCATCCATTGACATGGCAGATGTCGAGGTGGCGGGTAAACCATACGAACTGGATGCCGTTATTGTGGCCGTTGTTACAGTGGCCGTTGTTGTACATGTGCCGGCCGACGATGATGATGGCGTTGAAGACGACGCAGCTGCGGCAGCGGCGGCCGCTGCTGCTGCCCCCACAATATCTGCAATGTCATCGGAAAACAATCGCGATGGTGAAAAAGCTCGTGCCGGTTTAAAGGCCATTTCAAGACCAAGTTCGGTCAGTGGTGAGACACTGGGTGGGCTGGTACGTCGCAGTGGCGACACTGTGGACGATGATGATTTCGTAGAGGAAGCTGTCGTTGTGGCCGTTGATGATGCTGGCTGGGGGTGGTGCGATGGGTGGGTGGAGGTGCCACCACCCATCCCCGTCAATGCGGATGGATGGCCGAGGGACAGATGGTGTTGACCATAGGCACCCAATTGGTGTTGATGATGTTGCTGGTGGTGGTGCTGTTGTTGTTGCTGCTGTTGGTGGAGCGGGTGTGCATGTGAGTGCTGATGTTTGTGCTGTTGTTGTTGCTGCTGATGCATTGCATGTTGTTGTTGTTGTAAATGTAGTTGATGCAATTGATGTTGCTGTTGTTGACTTAGAAGGGGGTTGGGATCACATCGCGAGGCCGGTGACCCTGCCATGTGTAAAGCTGCTGCCACACTGGGTGGTAATTGGGTCATGACAGGTAATCCGGGACCACAAGGTGATGGTGCATGCCGTGGACCCATCATAGAGCCGACTGCCCCTGAACTTGATGCCGAACTGAGGGCCGGTGAAATACTCGTCTTGGGTAAAATCATGCCACCAGGACCTGAGGGTACCGGCAGAGCTCCACTGCCGGCTAAATGGGGAGGGAGATTGAAGAGACCTTGACCAGCTGGACCATGGTCCGGACCATGTTGTTGCTGATGCTGCTGTTGTTGTTGCTGCTGCTGGGCAGCTGCCATTTGCATTTGTTGGCGTAAATTGTGGGCCACTGCCGCCACTGCAGCCGCTGTAGCCTCCTGGGCCATTTGATCGCCGGTCGGTGTGGGAGTCGGTATGCCATTCGGACACTGGGCACTCACACCCGGATAACTGACACTTGGCTCCTGCTGAAATGGAAAAATAGGCTAGAACAAAAAGGGAAAATCGCCACATTAGAGCTTTCTAGACCCGGCGCTAGAATGAAAATGCTCGAAACGTTAGCTTACCGAATGTCGTCCATAGGGTAGATGAGGTACCAGACCCTCGTCCTTGATATCTTTACCCTCACGAAAGACAACCGTTTTGATGACACCCTTAATATGTTCATCCGGCCATATACCTAAGAGGATGCGTTGTGGCCGTCCCCGACCCTTGGGACGTAAATCGGGACCGCCGTCTATTGAAGGTCCCAGCATATTGTGCACCCGATTGGCATAGAGTACAAATGTCGGATAGGGTATATCATATTTGCGGGCAGCCTGTGACAAGGACAGGCCCTCTTTGAGGACACTGAAAATGGCTTCGGCCATTGTCTCTGGACGCCATGATTTGAGAGGGCCACGCTCCCGGAAACGCAAGTGATGCATTAGATTTTGATTGGTGCTCCAGCATTTTTGCCACATGGATTGCAGTTGATATTGGTAACTATCTGCTGGTGGGTGGGAGAGTGAGAGCGAGAAGGAGAAAACAAATAAAGAGAACGGAGAATTTTGATGTGATTAATAGGCATACAAACCTGCTATTGATGAGCTGGAACCACCCATCCAGGCATGAGAATTTTCCAACATTTTTGCCTGAGAAAAAAGAATTGAATACAAAATATTAGATAATTGGTGATAGAATATTGGTGTGGGGTTGAGGGTCGTATGAGCAATACTCCTACATAATTTCATAAATCATACGCACAATTGCCCAAGTGGGTTTTTAAATATTTTTAAATAAGGTATGTAACCTACAGAGTCGGAATTTAAAGAAACATATTATTTCTGGTCTAATATAGGAGTGAATTTTTGAAAATAGTTTTCAAGTTTAAAAAGGCTCGTAGTATTTAAAAAATATTTTTTAAGTAGCCCTCAAGGCTAGGATTTTTTAAAAAACATGTTTTTAAGTAGTCTTGGATTTTTTAAAAAATACTTTTTCAAGTAGCCCTAAAGGCTTGAATTTTGCAAAAAAATACGACCTGAAATTTTAAAAATATTTTTTCAAGAAGCCGCGGATTTTTGTTAAAATACTTTTTTATTTAGTTTTCAGATGAACACTAATATTTCCTCTATGGTATATCCTTTAAGGATAATTATATTAATATCCTTTAAACTAATTTCAAACAGCTGCAATAAATTCAACACCCCCATCACCGTTGACTTGAGCGCTGCTTTGTGCCGAGAAATTCATTTGTGATTACCTGTCAAATGATTTGTTTAATAATGGCAGGCCATGGCATTTCTTCCAGCTCACGCTGGTCGTTAGTTGATTATCAGGATGTCACCGACATACAGACGATGATGATGGCGGTGGCAGAAGTGGTGTCACTGCACAGTGTTTCAATTTGGGAATAGAATTACAGCTAATCCTAGTTTCTAAATTTTTTCACACAAGAAGTCTGGAAAAATCGATGATTAAAATTTATCTCCTCTTCCCGCAATTTCCCTTTCCCCCACCATATTGCGGAACCACTGTCCATTGTTGCACCACCAATTGGCGTACACGGCATTAAAAATCTTCGCCAAAACTATGCTGCGTCTTTGTGCATTCGTAAATATACAGGTGAATGAAGCTGGTCGGGGGTGGGGGTGTTCGTATCGTCGAGTGTGTGTGGGTCGGTGTGTGAGTGTCAAACGAATGTCATATTTGTTAATGCGCTGCTTTCTAACTACAATTGCAACAACAAGTTTTTGGTAAATTCCAAACAACGGAAAAAAACTCCTCTCTTGGCCAAGAGACAGCCCAATGGCCCACAAGCATTAGCGTTATTAGACCGGGTGATTTGCCGCCAAACTGTAATGAGTTGCACCAAAATGAAACACACAGCGGGAAGGGGTCCAAAGAGAGGGAGAGAGAGGGAGATAGAGAAGGAGTTATGACGATGGCAAGGCTCAAACACTTCGAAATACCAGGGCCATTCACACACACATATACGCATACTCACTTTGTAGGCAATTGCAGGACCAATTGTCCACAACAAACAAACGCAACAACATATTCCTCATGGTTGTTGTTGGTCTAAATAATACATGGAGCATTGTTGGGAATTATGAAGAGGGTGGGAGGAGTGGTAACATAAAGAGATGCCAAATATTTTGGAAAATAATAACTCAAAAAATTTCGAAACTGCCACCAATTTTGGAAAAATATTTTTATACCCTTCACCAAACTGTGGTACAGGGTATTATGTCTCTGTGCATAGACACATGGTTCCTTTTGAGAATATGCATAAAATTCCCTTTTAAGTCGATTTATGCATGTCCGTCCGTCTGTCTGTCCATGTTAAATTGTAAACAAAGTACATGTCGAATTTATAATCCGAATTGGATAAAATTTGGCACAGCTCATTTATTTGGCCCAAGGATGAACCCTATAGAAATTTGGAAAAAGCAGTTCCTATATATCCTTCGATTTGCACGAAATTTGGCATAGCATACTGAATTAAGTCTTGAAAGATGTGTGTTAAATTTCGTAAAAATTGCTTCAGATTTAGATATAGCTCTCATATATATTTTCGTCCGATTTTAGGTAAATGGCGCAACAAAGTCCTTATATATCCTTCGATTTGCACGAAATTTGGCATAGCGTACTGAATTAAGTCTAGAATGATATATGTTAAATTTCGTAAAAATCGGTTCAGATTTAGATGTAGCTCCTATATATATTTTCGTCCGATTTTAGGTAAATGGTGCACCAAAGTCCCTATATATCCTTCGATTTGCACGAAATTTGGCACAGCGTACTGAATTAAGGCTAGAACGATGTGTGTTAAATTTCGTGAAAATCGGTTCAGATTTGGATATAGCTCCCATATATATTTTCGTCCGATTTTCAGTAAATGGTGCACCAAAGTCCCTATATATCCTTCGATTTGCACGAAATTTGACATAGCGTATTGAATTAAGTCTAGAAAGATGTGTATTAAATTTTGTAAAAATTGGTTCAGATTTAGATATAGTTCCCATATATTATTTCGTCCGATTTTAGGTAAATGGTGCACCAAAGTGCCTATATATCCTTCGATTTGCACGAAATTTGGCCTAGCATACTGAATTAAGTCTAGAAAGATGTGTGTTAAATTTTGTGAAAATCGCTTCAGATTTAGATATAGCTCCCATATACATTTTCGTCCGATTTTAGGTACCACCAAAGTCCCTATATATCCTTCGATTTGCACGAAATTTGGCATAGCGTACTGAATTAAGTCTACAATGATGTGTGTTAAATTTCGTAAAAATCTGTTCAGATTTAGATATAGCCCCCATATATATTTTCTTCCGATTTTAGGTAAATGGTCCACCATAGCCCCTATATATCTTTCGATTTACACGAAATTATGCATAGCGTACTGAATTAAGTCTAGAAAGATGTGTGTTAAATTTCGTAAAAATCGGTTCAGATTTAGATGTAGCTCCTATATATATTTTCGTCCGATTTTCAGTAAATGGCGCACCAAAGTCCCTATATATCCTCGATTTGCACGAAATTTGGCATAGACTACTGAATACAGTCTAGAAAGATGTGTGTTAAATTTCGTGAAAATCGGTTCAGATTTAGATATAGCTCCCATATATAGTTTCGTCCGATTTTAGGTAAATGGTGTACCAACGTCCCTATATATTCTTCGATTTGCACGAAATTTGGCCTAGCATACTGAATTAAGTCTAGAAAGATGTGTGTTAAATTTCGTAAAAATCGGTTCAAATTTAGATATACCTCCCATATATATTTTCGTCCGATTTTAGGTAAATAGTGCACCAAAGTCCCTATATATACTTCGATTTGCACGAAATTTGGTATAGCGTACTGAATTTAGACTAGAACGATGTGTGTTAAATTTCGTAAAAATCGATTGAGATTTAGATATAGCTCCCATATATATTTTCGTCCGATTTTCAGTAAATGGTGCACCAAAGTCCCTATATATCGTTCGATTTGCACGAAATTTGACATAGCGCACTGAATTATGTCTAGAACGATGAGTGTTAAATTTCGTAAAAATCGGTTCAGATTTAGATATAGCTCCCATATATATTTTCGTCCGATTTTCAGTAAATTGTGCACTAAAGTCCATATATACTTCGATTTGCACGAAATTTGGCACAGCGTACTGAATTATGTCTAGAACGATGTGTGTTAAGTTACGCTAAAATCGCTTCAGATTTAGATATAGCTCCCATATATATTTTCGTCCGATTTTAGGTAAATGACGCACCAAAGTCCCTATATATCCTTCGATTTGCACGAAATTTGGCATAACGTACTGAATTAAGTCTAGAACGATGTGTGTTAAGTTACGCGAAAATCGCTTCAGATTTAGATATAGCTCCCATATATATTTTCGTCCGATTTTCAGTAAATGGTCCACCATAGCCCCTATATATGCTTCGATTTCCACGAAATTTGGCATAGCGTACTGAATTAAGTCTAGAAAGATGTGTGTTAAATTTCGGTAAAATCGGTTCAGATTTAGATATAGCTACCATATATATTTTCGTCCGATTTTCAGTAAATGGTGCACCAAAGTCCCTATATATCCTTCGATTTCCACGAAATTATGCATAGCGTACTGAATTAGGTCTAGAAAGATGTGTGTTAAATTTTGTGAAAATCGATTCAGATTTAGATATAGCTGCCATATATATTTTCGTCCGATTTTAAGTAAATAGCACACCGAAGTCCCTATATATCCTTCGATTTGCACGGAAATTGACATAACGTACTAAATTAAGTCTAGAATGATATGTGTTAAATTTCGTAAAAATCGGTTCAGATTTGGATATAGCTCCCATATATAGTTTCGTCTGATTTTCAGTAAATGGTGCACTAAAGTCCCTATATATACTTCGATTTGCACGAAATTTGGCATAGCGTACTGAATTAAGTGTAGAACGATGTGTGTTAAATTTCGTTAAAATCGATTCAGATTTAGATATAGCTCCCTTATATAGTTTCGTCCGATTTTAGGTAAATGGTGCACTAAAGTCCTTAAATATGCTTCGATTTCCACGAAATTTGGCATAGCGTACTGAATTAAGTCTAGAAAGATTTGTGTTAAGTTACGCGAAAATCGCTTCAGATTTAGATATAGCTCCCATATATATTTTCGTCCGATTTTAGGTAAATGGCGCACCAAAGTCTCTATACATCCTTCGATTTGCACGAAATTTGGCATAGCGTATGGAATTAAGTCTCGAAAGATGTGTGTTAAATTTCGTAAAAATCGGTTCGGATTTAGATATAGCTCCCATATATATTTTCGTCCGATTTTAAGTAAATGGCGCAACAAAGTCCCTAAATATGCTTCGATTTGCACGAAATGTGGCATAGCGTACTGAATTAAGTCTACAATTGTGTGTGTTAAATTTCGTAAAAATCTGTTCAGATTTAGATATAGCCCCCATATATATTTTCTTCCGATTTTAGGTAAATGGCGCACCATAGTCCATATATATCTTTCGATTTGCACGAAATTTAGCATAGTGTACTGAATTAAGCTGTGTGTTAACTTTCGTAAAAGTCGGTTCAGATTTAGATATAGCTCCCATATACAGTTTCGTCCGATTTTCAGTAAATGGTTGCACCAAAGTCCCTATATATACTTCGATTTGCACGAAATTTGGCATAGCTTACTGAATTAAGTCTAGAACGACGTGTGTTAAATTTCGTAAAAATCGGTTCAGATTTAGATATATCTCTCATATATATTTTCGTCCGATTTTCAGTAAATTGTGCACTAAAGTCCCTATATATACTTCGATTTGCACGAAATGTGGCATAGGGTACTGAATTAAGTCTAGAAAGATGTGTGTTAAATTTTATGAAAATCGGTTAAGATTTAGATATAGCTCCCATATATATTATCGTCCGATTTTATGTTAATGGTGCACCAAAGTCCCTATATATCCTTCGATTTGCACGAAATTTGGCATAGCTTACTGAATTAAGTCTAGAAAGATGTGTGTTAAATTTCGTAAAAATCGGTTCAGATTTAAATATAGCTCCCATATATAGTTTCGTCCGATTTTCAGTAAATGGTGCACCAAAGTCCCTATATATACTTCGATTTGCACGAAATTTTGCACAGCGTACTGAATTAAGTCTAGAAAGATGTGTGTTAAATTTCGTAAAAATCGCTTCAGATTTAGATATAGCTCCCATATATATTTTCGTCCGATTTTCAGTAAATGGTGCACCAAAGTCCCTATATATCATTCGATTTGCACGAAATTTGGCACAGCGTACTGAATTAAGTCTAGAAAGATGTGTGTTAAATTTCGTAAAAATCGGTTCAGATTTAGATGTAGCTCCCATATATAGTTTCGTCCGATTTTAGGTAAATGGTGTACCAACGTCCCTATATATTCTTCGATTTGCACGAAATTTGGCCTAGCATACTGAATTAAGCCTAGAAAGATGTGTGTTAAATTTCGTAAAAATCGGTTCAGATTTAGATATAGCTCCCATATATATTATCGC